AAACACCAGAATAATCTCATTTTTATTGTAAATATCAGATTACTAGTATTAGGTTACATAGGACATCTTATGCCAATGTTCATATCCAAATATACATGCTGTAATGTTTAAGACATATCATGTTATAATAAATATTATAGGTGTGTTTTTATGGAATACACAAGGAAGTAATGTAAAATACAAATTTGTTTTAAGCTATAATTATTAAAAATATAATCAATTAAAGGGGACACTCTAGAGAAAATCAAGGGAAATATCATAGTATATTTTATCATTTACAAATAATGGCAAATATAGAAGTAATTAAGCTTTTAGAGAATTATATTCTTCAAATACATTTTTCAAAGTAGTTCTTAAATCAAGCTTTCATCCCCCTTTTTGTATATATAATATAAAATAAATGACATAGCAATATATAATATGTACAAATATATAAACATAGAAACATTTCTACAACATAGAAAAATCTATATGTTAAATATAGTTTATTTTTATACATTATACACAATAGTAGATTGATTTAAGTACTTCCACTGCCTTACTTTTAATACCTACACATCTCTTTGCTACACTAAATAAACTGTGGTTTAAACTAAAAAGTCTAATATTTTTAATTGGCAAGGATGTTAAAGAAAACTTAGATGCAAAGCAGAAATCTGTCTTAATTTGGTGCATCAAATATCAAGTAAGATTAGTAAGCTATTAGCCTTTTCATGTATTATAATGCTCTGACACTTCATCCATCACGTTTGAGTTTCATCAGGAAGGTGAGCACAGCATATCTCCCTCAATTTATCTTGGAATATGTTAGAAAATGACAAGTTGCTCTTTTGTTCATTCACTTACAAAAGAGTAAAAATTCTTGTAAATAGAAACCATAATGAATGTTCAAGATCATTTACCATGCCGAAATGAACCTGCATTCTGATAGCGGCTCCACCTCCAGATACCAGTAAAGATGTGAAGTTTAGTAAGAAAATATATTTGATTAAAGCTTTCTTATGAAAGTATTTTGTTCTCATGTTAGGTCATATCTATTAATTAATAATAACCATGTGCCATGTCCAGTATACAATAAAAATGAGTAGAATTTAATGAAAATATGTTGTATGTTTAATTAAATTTTTATTTCACTTACCTTAACCTTAAAAAATAAATTACTGTATTTAGAATTGAGACAGGGTATTAAGAAGCTAAGAAAATTCCTTGGCAAGCGGACTAGGGAAACTGAGACATAGTCGAACACAATGGCAGAGTAATTTATAGCCAGGTTCAGATGTTCTCCTCCCTAGACATAACACCTAGGCCTCAGCTGTGTTTCAGCTCCAGGCCCCGAAAAGCAGCAAAACCAGGTGAGTGACACCAGAATCAACTGCAATTATTGAAGAACCCCCGCCCTGCCACTGAGCAGTCACAGAAGACCATAACCCTAAAAGGGCACACCTGGAGAACTGATGAATATTCCACTGAAAGCTTCCCTGAGACCACCCCTAACATTCCCACCTGCAAGAAGTGATGAAAGCTTCAAGATAAAGGACGCAGCCTAAGTGTCCTTTCTCTGGGGAGCAGCCTGCACCATTCCCTTTCCTCCCCTCCCACCCCACTCCTCTCTTCACAGACACTAGTGCCTCCTAAACTCTAAGGCAGTGAGCAGCTGCCAACTTGTCCCAGGCTGATCCCCCAGACTTGTCCTGAAGGCCCCCTTTTCTGACTTCCCAGTGGGTTAAGGCAGCCCAGCCTAGGCTCTCCTGTTGCTTCTTCTGTGCTGAGCCCTTTTCTCACCTGTCTCAGCAGGCCCATTCTCTCCTTGAGGATGTACTAATGAACCTCTTACTCATTCAATTTATCTCTCTGGTACATAATTTTTTACTCAGTTCGTGAGAAAAACCGAGCCCCAGTAACAGAATTAACAGAAGAGACTGGAAACAGAATGACACCAACTTCTGCTTGTGACAAACTTTTCCAACTTTTTCTTTTTAATTAATGTATTTATCATTGAATATGTATTAAGCTTTTAAATTATGCTAAGATAGAACCTGATAGCATACAATGAAAGCACTAAGACATTATAATGCGTGTATAGAACCAGAGGGACTAGATTGTGGGTGGCAGTGGAGGTTAAGTGGTAAGAACAGGGCTCATTGGGCAGAAATTTGACTGGAATGAGGGAGTAAGCATGAAACTATCTACCATGAGAGTATTTTGAGCGGTGGGAACATCAAGACAACAGATCAGGAGCATTTGATTATCAGCAGTAAAGCCAATAGTGGAAAGAGTGGGAGGGAATTTGACTGGAGAAGTAACTGTGTCTTGTTACCATACACACAAAAAAAAATTCTTAGATTTTAGTCAGAATTACTCTTGTGTGTGGGTAAACATCAGGCATCCAAATCTGTAGAAAATTTTCATTAGTTTATTAGAGTTTATTTGAGCTAGAAGAAATTCCTGGCAATAAGAGCTCATGGGGCTGAGAAGAATGCTTCCCAGAATGAGAGTCTTTGGTTTGTTTTATACTTTCGAAGTTAAGAAGGAAACAGGAGGAAGATTTCAGAAGTGTGGGGAAAAGCCAGGCAGGGAAATCTCTGTGATCAGATTATAGGATAGATAACAAGATTATGTGCTATCCTCAGGGTGTTTATGTTAGAGGCAGTTCAAAAAGAGAGGCATTTCAGAGATGCATTAATCCAGATGCGCAAAAGCAGTGGTCAGGGCTCGCTTAAGGCAAAGATAACCTTTTCCTGTGGAAGTTAGTCCCGAGGCTGGACCTGCACAGCTAAGAATGTATGATTAGATGGCCCTGGAAGGGTACTTCCAGTTTGATTTACTACAGAGCTTTCTTTTTTTTTTCCCCATCCGCATTTGTATCAAATAATTTTCAGTGGCAGAGCTAGTTTGGAAGGAATAGGATCATAGACAAGATATCCAAAGAGCAGACTGTTATCAAATTGCTTAACCTAAACAACCTACTCATTTGGTGACTCTAGTAAGCCTGGCAATTAATCTAATGGACTAAAATTAAAGTTAAAAGTCAAATAGCCCTAGCTAGTGTGGCTCAGTGACTTGAGCGATTGCCTGTGAACAAAAGGGTCACCAATTCAGTTCCAAGTCCGAGCACAAGGCTGGGTTGTAGGCCAGGTCCCCAATAGGGAGTGTGTGAGGGAGAACCACACATTGATGTTTCTTTCCCTCCCTTTCTTTCCCCTGTCTCTAAAACTAAATAAATAAATATTTTAAAAGAAGAGTCGAATAAAATTAGTAAGAAATGAATTTGTTTCATTGTTGAACTAGTACAATGGGAGATGTGCACTGTATGGATATTTTAGGGTTTTATAAAATGATGAAAAGTCCAGGGCAATCACCATACTGCCCTCCTTAAAATCCTGCAAGGGCTCCCTTTGCTGGACTTCTCCTTCCCCCAATCCCCAATCTCATCTCACAGGCTGTCACGCCATTTTACAAGTGTGTTCAAAATGCTAAGCTCAAATATATGTAAAGTGTGTGTCCTCTAAAAAAAGGGATTATGTGGAACACACTTGTAGTTGAACCAAGTTGGGTTTGTTGACTTGTAACGTAGGTGAGTGCTCACCATGGGAAATAAGCAGCTTCTTAGTAACAGAGTCTTTGCTCACACAGCAATTGTTTTGTTGGGGGATTTTTCTGTGTACTTAAGGAATTGGACTTTGCCCTAGATTGGGAAGTATAAGGAAGTGATGATTCTGTTATGGGAGAAACTCCCAGAAACTCATTTCTTTCCAATGCAGTAAGGTATCATAGGCCAGTGAGCGTACTAGCCTGCAAGCAAAATTTAATAACACTAAATTCTAATAGAAAAGCAAAGCAAGGGTGGCTAGAGCAAGGGTGTCAAAAGTAGGGTGGCCAATGGCTGGGTGACCAGCACCCAGATGGCCAAAAGAAGTAGCCAGGAGCTCCCTGGCCAGCAGTCCAACCCCACATCGCAAGGGAACCACAAGGCCAAGAGAAGAGGCTAAGAGGGAAAGCCCTTTGTTCTGAGGATTTACATAGTTGGTGGAGTAAGTGTGAAGAAGTTACATTTTGATTATCAGGTAAAAGTGGTGCCAGCTTTCTGGGGGAGACGTGACTGCCTAAACATAGCTGTGGGTGGAGGTCTATTAACCCAAATCTTTATCTTCCTCCAGACTCCACTTGTTCATTTTGCACATGTGATGGGAGGCAGGCAGTTAACTAAAACTGTTTATGGGCCCTTTCTTTGGGCACTAGAGATCCCTCCTTTTCCCCCTTCCAGACCTTGGAATGAATATACAGCCCCAAGGTTTTCCTTTTCCCAGATAGTGGAGACACAGCCTTTCAGGGGTTCCCCCGCTCCTGACCGTATTTCCACTTGTTCAGGACTACTGGCAGCTTTATGAGACCAGGCTCAGGATTACTGGGTCAAACCATGTGAGCTTTTGCTTTTAGCCTCCTGTATTAAGTTCTATGCTAAATTGTAACAGTGAGAGCCCTGCCTTTATTTCCCCTCTGGCCACTCATTCATCCATAACAATTCCAGGGTTTGTTATTCTAATATTTCCTATCTAGAAGCTAAGAAGAACAATGTGTGGCTGAAGTTGTCTTTGATAAGGAAGCAGTAGTAATTTATATCATCAATATATTGAAAGATTTAGTTATTTTTATAGTTTGAACAATGTTCTTGTCTTCTCTAAATCTGTATGAGTGGGGAGTGGTCCTGTTTTTTCTTGAACTGTTGACTTTCAAGAAGGGTCTTGTCTAATGTTGATGCAAATTTATGAAGAAGGGTTCCATGGCCTATCTGTGATTGTCTTACCAGTTCTAGCACCTTATTGAAAGCAAAAAGTCTGCTCCTAGCTCTCTTAGAAAGGCTGTGGTTTAGTGTACTTGCCAGGTTTGGAAACCAAGAACCCTATAAAATGTTTAGAATAAATCATTGAGAAAGACATTTTGGCCTGGAGATTTCAATGGAGGAAATATATTATTTATTTATTTATTCATTTATTTGACTCAGATGTTTCTTCCTAATGAATGGCCATTACATTTCCTAAGTTCTGAAATGACCAACAGACCACAGAAAGACATTTCCTTAGACTCTTGCTTAAAACCAACAGCTTCAGCAAACTGCTGACCTTGATTCGGGGCCAGAGATTTATTTTTTAAATTTCTTTTCTTTTAAAAGAAATCATATTACTTCTTTCAGTTTTTAAAAGTTACTTATCTCTAGATATTTATCAGTTTCTCCATATCTTTTAATCATTGGAGAAAATTGCTTCAAAATTATTATTTTTAGTATATATTTCTTACATTGGGTGATACTTTTTATATTTTATATTATTTTATTCTTACTTTCTACATATTTTTCTAACCATTCCATTAGTTAATGTTTTTAGTCATTTGAAACTATTTAATTTGGCCTTGTTTTTTCTTCACGATATGTTTGTTTTCTGTTTTATTATTACCTTCCTCTAAGTTAAGTGGGTATAATTTCCAAGATACTAGTTTGTTTTGTTTTCTTCTTCTGTTTTTTAATTTTTTATTTAATTGTTGTTTAAGTACAGTTTTCTGTCTTTTACTCTCATCCCAGCCCACCCCCCAGGTGCTCCCCACCTCCCTCCCACTTCCACTCCCCTTAGTTGTTGTCCATGTGTCCTTTATACTAGTTCCTGTAAATCCTTCCCCTTTTCCCCCTGAAATTCCCTTCCCTCTCCCCTCTGGTTGCTGTCAGCCTGTTCTCTATATATTTTGCTTGCTTGTTTGTTTTGTTGTTTAGCTTCCTGTTAAAGGCGAGATCATATGGTATTTGTCTTTCAACCCCTGGCTTATTTCACTCACCATAATGTTTTCCATTTCCATCCATGCTGTCGCAAAGGGTAGGAGCTCCTTCTTTCTTTCTGCCGCATAAAATTTCATTGTGTATAAGTACCATAATTTTTTGATCCATTCATTTACTGAAGGGCACCTAGGTTGCTTCCACCTCTTGGCTATTGTAAATTGTGCTGCTATGAACACTGGGGCGCATATGTTCTTTTGGATTGGTGTTTTAGGGTTCTTAGGATATAATCCCAGCAGTGGAATTGCTGGGTCAAAAGACAGGTCCATTTTTATTTTTCTGAAATTCCATACTGTTTTCCATAGTGGTTGTACCAGTCTGCAATCCCACCAACAGTGAACTAGGGTCCCCTTTTCTCTACATCTCCAACACTTGTTTGTTTCTTTGTTTATGATGGCCATTCTGACTGGTGTAAAGTGGTATCTCATTGTGGTTTTAATTTGCATCTCTCTGATAGCTAGTGATATTGAGCATCTTTTCATGTGTCTCTGGATCTTCTGTATGTCCTCCTTGGGGAAGTGTCTGTTCAAGTCCTTTGCCCATTTTTTAATTGGGTTGCTTGTCTTCTTAGAGTGGAGTCATGTAAATTCTTTGTACATTTTGGAGATTAAACCCTTGTCTGAGGTATCGTTGGCAAATATGTTTTCCCACACAGTAGATTCTCTTCTTATTTTAATACTGTTTTCTTTAGCCATGCAAAAGCTTTTTATTTTGATGAGATCCCATTTGTTTATTCTTTCCTTTATGTCCCTTGCTCTAGGGGACATATCAGTAAAAATGTTGCTGCATGAAATATCTGAGATTTTCTTTCCAGTGTTCACCTCTAGGATTTTAATAACGTCATGGCTTATATTTAAGTCTTTTATCCACCTTGAATTTATTTTGGTATATAGTGTAAGTTGGTGCTCGAGTTACATTCTTTTGCATGTAGCTGTCCAGTTCTCCCAACACCATTTGTTGAAGAAGCTATCTTACTCCATTTTACATTGCTGCCCCCTTTTTTTTGTTTTCTTGAAATGAATATATATAAAGTCTTAAGACATTTTTTCCTAGGTGATATATTAAGGGTATGTACATTTTGTTCTCAGTTTACCACATTTTTATATATTTTTTATTATTTAATATAAAGTAGTTTATAATTGCCACTGGGTTTTCTTTCTTCAATTTCACATTATTTAAAAGTTTATTTTATATTTTTAATTTTCAATCATTTTGTGAATGCTCATTTACCATGGTATTAACTTATGGCTTATTTTCTGTATTGCTATTTACCATTCCATAAGTGAATTCATCTTGAGGCCTCAAATTTGTCAAATTTTATCATCAATTATGTGATCACATAAACATAAAAAACTACATTTTGTCATTGTAAATTGCAGTATTTTATCTACGTCAAATAGTTTGTTAGTTATGTTATTCAGACCTTCTATAACATTGCTGATTTATTTGTGTTTATTCTATATTCCAGGTGCAATGTGGATTTTTCCCTGCTTTTAATGTTACTGATTTATTGATGCAATGTTTGGAGATTGTGATAACGTACATGGGATTTTAAAATATAATTATTTTGCTATCAAGTTGTTTCTATCTCTGCCATGCCATCTCATGGCCTTTATCTTAGAAATGTATTGCACCTTAAAGTGTACTTTATTGACTTTTCTTTAGAAAGAAATAATATTTCTCTGTTATTTTATTTTTATCCATTGTTTATCTGTATTTTCAGATGTGCATCTTGTAAGCAGCATATGTTTCTTTTAAACCAATCTGAAAATCTTGAAATTATAATAGTTTTTAGTCCACTTATATTTAAAGTAATGACAGATATGTTTGGGATTTATAGTTAGCAATTTACCATTTGGTGTTATTTGTTATCACCAATTCTATGTTCCATTTTGCTTTCCCCTCTTGATGATTTTTTTTATTAATGAAATATATAGTTTTTACTAAGTTATGAACTCATGCTTGACTAATTGAAATCTAGTACATAATAGATCATGGTTGACAGAATACAAATATGGTCATTATAAATTCCTTTACTTTCTTTTAAGCCTCACCCTAGGATATGTTATTATTGATTTAGAGAATGAGGGAGACAGTGGGAAACACTGATGTGAAAAACATCTGTGACTTGCCTCCTGCAGGTGCCCAGATCCAAAGGGAATTGAACCACAACCTTTTTGCCTACAGGAGGACACTTCAACCAGCTGCATCACCGGTCTAAGGCTCCTTCACTTTTCTTACACATATGACATTCCATGCATCTAGATGTGAATTTAGCTTAGCCTGTGACTTGCCTTGATTATGTAATTTGGCAGAAGTAATACTATGCAGCTTCAGGCCTGGGTCTCAAGAGTACTGTGAGATTATGGTTGCTCTGTCTTGGGACCAGAACACTGATAACACCAAGTACAAGGAAGAACAGGTTTGTTCTTTCTTATATTTTATCAAATATTTTTATTTAAAATTATAATGAACATGAGTAATCACTATTATGTAATATTAGTAAAAGAAAAATATGTTAGCAATGTTTTATCAGAAACAGAAACTCTCATTTATTGGTGGTGAAAATGCCAAATGGAGCAGTCATTTCGGAGAGCAGTTTGGTGGTTTCTTATAAAACTAAACACACTGTAATGATCTGACCCAGCAATCATGTTTCTTGGTATTTGCCAGGGATTGAGGGAAAGGAAGAGATGAATATGCAGAGCATGGAGGATTTTTAAAGCAGTTAAAATACTCTATATAATGTTATAATAAAGGATAAATATCATTATACATTCATTCTTACCCGTAGCATATACATTACCAAGAATGAATCCTAAGGTAAACCCTTGTAGTTTGGGTGGTGATAATACATCAATGCAGGTTCATCAGTTTTAACAAATGCATCACTATGGCCAGTGATGTTGATAATGTGGGAGGCTTTGCATATGTGGGCACAAGGGGTATATGGGATCTGCACCATCCTCTCGGTTTTGCTCTGAGCAGTTCTTTAAAAAAGGAAAGTCTTAAAAAGTTAGAATGTCTACAATAGAACAAATGACTAAAAGTTTGGAGGGACTCTTTTAATTGACGTGGTAATAAACACAGTCATAATGTGAGAAAAAGTCCCACCAAAGCAAGGGAATCTAGTTTCCTGAATACTTTCATCAGACAATAGAGGGACATCTGTCTGCAGTTTGAAAATGGATCCTATATTCAGTGGCAGAGTAGAACCAAAAAAATAGACAGAAACAAAACTTCTCAATATTGAATTATCCCTATGTAACAAATGAGTGTTATAGTTCTTTGAGCTACAGTTTTTAATCTTGTCTGAAAGAGACTGGTAACTAAGAAACCATCCTAAAATTCAGAATTATTTCTGCAAATGAAATACTTGTAACTGTAATATTATTATTAATCTATGCTATATATTGAGCACAGATAAGGTATAATGAATTTAAACAACATGATAACATACCTGGATTCAGAATTAAAGTACATTAAACTAATAATTTAATAAACTGCTAATATACTTCAAAAAAACAATTTGGATTTATAATTTTAAGATCATGCAACTTCAAAGTAAGAATGTATCTTAATATATTAAGATTTTCTTAGTAAGAGTTCTGAATATTCACTTATTTACTTTTTCAGATAACACACTATAATTATATGGTTAGATTTTTAATTCAATCTGTTCTTTCTTACACTTTCCGCAAATATTTAATTAAAATACAATATATAATGAAGAGTAGCAATTATTATTATGTAATATTAATAAAATAAAAATGTTCAGCATATTTTATCAGTATCTGCATTTAACTTAAGCTATAGAGTGAGTCCCATATTAAGGTTACTTCTTTCTTTTTTTAACTTAAATTTTTTAAAGATTTTATTTATTTATCTTTAGAGGGGAAGGGAAGGAGAGAGGGAGAGAAACATCAATGTATGGTTGCCTCTCGTGCGTCCTGCGTCCCCTGCTGGGAACTGGCCTGCAACCCAGGCATGTGTCCCGATTAACTTAATTTTTATATTTAGGAAATAAAAAACCTTAACTCCTAACTACAAGTCACTGGAAAAGATAGAGTGAACTGGTACCATCAGAGAACTCTAGATCCTCAAAATCAAAACAGATAATATAATGGAGAAATTTCTTTTTACTTTTATCAAATAGTTCATCTTTAATTCAAACAGCATGATCTATGTCTGAAATGTTTTAAGTTTGAGGATAGTGACCAATATTTTTTAACTAAATTTTTCTTTGTTATGGCTTAGAACACATTTATTTATGCTTTGTTATAGAAATATGTAGTTTTTGAACATACTCAACACA